CGACAGAGCTTTATTACTCTCAAATGAATGCTTTCACACTGATAACATCAGAATTATTACGGATATTTTGGTCAACAATCGCTTCCCGAAACCTTTCATTGAACTACATATTGCGAAGAGAATGAAAACTCTAAAACACCGTAGAGAATATTTGATGGTTAATGACAATGGATGTAAAAAGTTTAATACGAGATCATTGTTACCGATACCTTATATAAAAAACTTGAGCGAAAATCTGAGTATTGCGTTAAAAAAATATGGCCTCGACATTGTTTATACTATCCCGAAAAAATTAAATAGATTAATCAAGAGAGGAAAAGATAAGATCAATCATATGAAAAAAACTGACGTTGTGTATCTGATAGAATGTAACAATTGCAATGCAACATATACAGGGCAAACAAAAAAACAATTAGCTACACGCGTAAACGAACATTGTAGAAATATTAAACAACATCATAGCAATTTTAACGTAATTAGCAAACATCGAAAAAAATATGACCATGATTTGAAGTGGATGGAACCTAGGATTTTGCATTGCGAAAAACATAGAAGAAAGAGAGAATTAGCGGAGATGTTTTTTTATTAAAAAATATAAGAATAACATTAATTTGCAAGAGGACACAAAAAATCTAAATCCGATTTATGATAAGTTGATCCACAGTATATGATTGTCTATTTATTTATTTATTTATTTCGTTGTATTGTCGAACTTTGATATTAGTGTGTTTGTAACGTTTAACTTAAATTGATTTACTTGTCTCTCCGGTTTAACATTAGTAATTTTACTGCTGTCGAATCAACATCTTGAAAGGTACATTACATTATTTTTATATTATTTTAAATTTCTTCGTTAACAACTTTGTAAATTATTGTTTCATATCTTAATCATTGTATATTTTTATTGTGCAGTTACACTTGAAAAGGACTCGTACCTAAGGGTCGAAACATAGTGTTTCTAATTAAATTGTACTGGCCAGTTAGGTCGAAATTTCAATAAATTCGTATGGTTTTATTCATCACTGGCGACTTCATTAATTTTATCATTATTTAATAAAAGAGTTTTTAATACGTTGAGTTGTTTACTCAAGCTCCATTTTTTAAATAAAAGTTGTCGGGAAATTCCTTCTTCTTCTTCTTTACGGTTTAGGGGCCTATATAAACCTTGGTTTTTCCTTTCCAGCCATAAGTTCTAATTGGGTCCACAATGGGCCAAAAGGAAAAAATTCTTTCAGACGAAACACGTCTGAACACATCGACGGATGTCAACGAACTCTGGGAAATTTCATCATCCATCAAAATTTTCCAATTTTTAAGATACAAAAAATTGGTAAAATTTCTTTCAAATTACAGATTTGTTAAAATCTATTCAAAATTAAATAAAAAACGCATATTTTAAATTTAAATGGCAAATAAGAGTCAAATAATAGCGCATTAGTTTTAAGAGGAAGAAATAATTTTCGTTGAAATTGATTAGTCTTTCATTGAAACTAATGTATAAAATACCGAATAATCAGTTTCAATGAAAACTATTTTTTCCCTTGAAACTGACGCACTTCATTCGCGTTTAGTTCTTATTTGTTGTTAACACTGAAAAAAAATTTATTGAATTCGCATAAATATTTATTTCAATACTGCCTAATAAATCATATATTTGAAACCAATAATGTTGATTTGATGTAAAAAATATTTATTTGATATAAGAAAATTCTTTTCAAAACAGATAAATATTTATGTCAATAATAAATATTTGTTTTAAATAAATGATTTATTAGGCATAGCATTGAAATAAATATTTATTAATTTAATAATTTTTTTTTCAGTGACTAATTATTAATCTAACTATATCAGATAACGTAGTCACTAATTAATATTTTTGCAAAACAATTATATACTAATTAATTATTGCAAGACAAATAATTAATAATCGTCTGAAAAAATATTCAAATAAATATTTTTGGAACATTAGTCGATCGATGTAAAAATATTTAAAAAAGTGAAAACAAGTTGAAATCTCTGCAAATAACTTTGATTAACAAAAGTATTGCTTTTTTCCTTATTTTTATTCGTAAAAAAATATTTATAAGATAATATATTAATGTTTATTTTTTCTATTAATTCAACTGAAACAGAAGTAATCACACACACACACACAGTCCTTTATGTAATAAAATCATTTAAAAGAAATCGATAAAAAATGTGTTCGTAGAAATTAAGATTGTGAAACTATGAATGTTGAAATTATGAATCATTTTTCAAAATCTTTTAAATGTATCAAAAGTAAGAATAATCTAATTAATTTTTAAAAGAAAGATATGTAGAAGAAAAAATTTCAGAACAAATTTCAAAAAGTTGAAAATTAGCCATTTAATATTGTAAAATATAATTATTATAACATAATAAAATATAATAAAATATAGGAGGTGTACGATAAAATATAATATTTGAATTTAATTACTTTTTAATAGAATTAAAGCTATTATAGGTGTACGATAAAATATAATTTTATTTGAATTTCATTATTGTTTAATAGAGTTAAAACTATTTTTTAAACACATATTTTAAGTTTCTTGTGAAGCTTTTTCAGATAATTTCACGAAATTCAATTTTTATTGTACATTTTTCGAGCAAAAATTCCTTCGCGTAATCGTAACCGCGCGAAGCGCAAATGGGACACTAACGAGAAATACGGGAAATTCCAAAGCACCTTCTCACGTCTGTTGCATATTCATGAGACGAGGACTATAAATATACGCGCGCCAGTTTTAATTGCGTTCATCCGCGAAAACAAGAAAAAATTCAAAACTTCGAAAATGCTTTTCGGATCGCTTTTCGCGCGCAATTTAAACCTATAAAGGGGAATTTTGAGATCCCAACCATAAGATATACGAATTCCTAATAAGTTTCTTAATTTTTCGCAATAACATCGCGTTTGGTTCTATTCGTCGATATAAATATATTATATATATTATGTATTAAACCTATAAACTTGTGTACAGAATTTGTATATAATAAAAAGAGAAAATATGCACCAACCTGCATTTTTCTCGAGATGCAATATGCGAATGGTAGAGGTAAATATACTTGAGTGCCGGAGGAAAATGCGTCGGCGGATTTCTTCCTTTTCACTTTTGGCGCGCACGAAGTTACACGAAGATACAGCGATCCATCGCTCACGATGCAACACAACTGACGTCTGACGCACACTGACGCACCCCGAGCAGCCGAACGCTTCGTGAAACGTCACAGTCGCAGTGATTCAACCATTGGCACGCGGCCTCTTAGGGGAAATGAAGGGGAGAGGCAGGGGATGTTATTTGCGAAGAGAAAGTTAGCGAATAACGCGCCCTCCTTTCTTGCTTTCGCAAACTTAGTGATTAGCACGGTCGGTAAAACAGATTCCTTCTTTTTTTAAATATTTTTAGTCTTTTTTCCTTTCTTTCATATTTTCCTTTAATTTTTTTTTTTCATTTATTAAATTATTTTCAGAAACAAAGCACGAATCGATTTTATATTAAAAATGTTTTAAATTAAGGAATTAAACATTTTAAATAGAGCTAAATTAAAAGTTATTAATTTTTTAACTTTTTATTTAACATTAATTATTATAAATAAATTCCAACACCTTTTTGTCGACCAAACTGGCAATTCCTCTTTATTACTTTAAATCACTAATAACGTTTCGACTATAATTTTAGTCCTTCTCAAGTGATATAACTACACATAACATACAATAATATTCAGTGACATAAATCATTTCGCTGATAATATTCAAAGTTAAATGAGATATATATATACGTACTTGTAAAAAAAACAATAGTTAAATTCAAAGAAGTTATAAAAGAATAGGTGTCAATTAAATAGACAACACGTCAAGTACATTCAACGTACAAAGAGAGACTATCTTTATTATTTTGTCATATATTTTACTTAAATTATCGGTGTCCTTTTGTAAATTAATCGTGTTGTTGTTTTTCTTAATAAAAAACATTTCAGTAATTTCTCATTTTCTGCCGTGTTTCTCCTTATATAGAATTTTAAGCATATAGACCAATTAAAGTCATGATCCAATTATATTTTATGCTTCCTAATTGCTGATAAATTATTGATACTGTACTCAATTTTGTATAACTAGAAAACATGCATAACTCACGTTATTAAATATCAAAATAATGTCATTTTAGAAAAAAATAATGATATTTTCAGAGATGAAAAAGATTTTTAACTTAGAAAAAAAATTAATAAATTTAAGTTTTAAAAAATAACTATAATTTAAGTTAAAAATTAACACATTTTCAGGATTGGGTAAATTATATAATAATTGTTTAAGATAGCTAAGTTTAGTTAAAGTTATAATTGATGACAAATGAACATAAAAATTAATAATACTTTAATTTAAAAATAATATAATGGAATTCAGAGATAAAAAATTTAACTTAGGAAAAAAGTTAATAATTAAAGTAAAAAATAAACTATAGTTGAAGTTAAAAATTAATACATTTTAAATAATTAATATATACATATATATATATATATATATATATATATATATATACTAACTTTATAAATAAATAAAAATAAGATAACACGCGCACGCAACTTAATAAGTACAGCAACTGACGTCATTAAATGTCAAAATAACAGTAATTATTTTATATAAAAAAATAATATAGTATTTTCAGAAATAAAAAAAATTTTTTAATTTTTAAAAAATTAATAAGTTTAAGTTGAAAAAATATAATTTAAGTTTAAAATTAATAATACATTTTAAATGAACTGAGCTCATAGTGACGTCATATTCGACGTCAAAAAATGACACGTATATACTTGCTACCTGGGAAGTAAAAGAATAAAATTTTCCCGATTTTCTTAGAATTGAGAATGTAAGAATAAAACCCGCCGTATTAAAATCGAGCCGATATCGCCCCGATAGGAATGATTGACGTAAACATATCGTCTGGTTCAGAGTCCAGAGGGGCCGATCCCTGGGCGAGAATCCCGCGGAGAGGAGAGGGAGAGATCCTAAATGCGCTTGACAGAACCGCTAAGATGGCCGATATGATGGAATCACCGCCGCTATTCGATACCAACGAGACCAAATTGGACGACCTGGAGGACGACGACGAGGATATCTTCGCGTCCGCCGTTCAGGTATTTTGCTGAAGAACGGATCGAAGACGTGGAGAATCGAAATTACGAGGAACATACGAGAATCATCGAGAAATTCGTGTCTCCCGAGAGTGAAAGAACGATCCGAGTATTTATTCCACGAAGTAGACGTGATAAGATATTTTTTTGTATCCTGTATATATTATAAATAACGTCATCGAAAAATGAAAAATATCGACACTTTATTAATATTTCCCTCTGCGAACGAGAATAGATTATTTTGCTGACCCATCTTTCATTTGACATTTTAACACACATGAAGATTGTAATGGAAAATTTTGTGACAATTTATTTCATTATAAAATTTATTTATTATATTATATAAATTTTGTATAATATGTATATTTATATAATATTATATAAATTAATAATATATATTTACATAATATTGTATAAATTTTATATTATATAAATTATTATAAATCTATTTATATAATATGACAACTCAATATTATCATATAATATCTATGTATTTGCAGGACCAGAGTCAATTGGAGGATGCTTCGCCTTACAATGGAGTGTCCAAGATTCAAGCGGAGCTGCCGAAGCTGTCCTTGCGAGATGCAGAAGAGAATTCATTCTCCTCTATGTCCAGTCCGGCTCCGGGTCCCCTGAGTCCTCCACTAGGACCGATGAATACAGATATCGGTGATCTTCATGATGTTCCTATCAATGATAATGCAGACACACTGTCTACAAGTATAATCCATTCTCGGTCCTTAGAAGAGGTAAATTTTATTTGTACAATTGTACTTCAAATTGCTATTAAATGATTTAAATATTTATATTATTTTTTAATATATAGGTTCCAGCAGACACGTCTGAAGTTTTCTTGAAAATTACCGTCACTTCTCCTCAGAAGATAGGTGATGGAATGGGCGCCTATGTTGCGTACAAAGTTGAAACGAGGACGAATATGCTCATCTTTAAGAAGAGAAACTTTAGTGTAATTAGACGTTTCAGTGATTTTCTAGGTCTCCATGACAAATTGACAGAAAAGTATCTTAGGAATGGCAGAATAATTCCACCAGCCCCAGAAAAAAGTGTCATTGGTAGGATCATAATTTAATTTTGCACACAATTATAAGAAAATTATAAAGAACTACATATATATTATATACATTGATAGGAACGACGAAAATTAAAATGTCTGGAGACAAGAGTCAAGAGCAAAATTCGAGTTCTACTGAATTTCTTGAACGACGTAGAGCAGCTCTCGAGAGATACTTGAACAGAACAGCCACACATCCTGTTCTGAGTATTGATCCTGATTTCAGAGAATTTTTAGAAGCTAGTAAGTTAATAAAAATATTTCTTAACATCTTGAGAAATCATGTTTCTTTTATAAAAGAATATTTTGATATTGAAATGTGATTTGATTTTTTTTATAGATATAGAATTGCCTAAGGCTACCAATACATCTGCATTGAGTGGCAAAGGAGTGATGCGACTTTTCAATAAAGTTGGAGAAACTGTTAACAAGATAACGTACAAAATGGATGAAAGTGATACGGTGAGATTTGTTCAATACAAACACATATTTCTTCTTGCATGTATTTCCTACAAAGTATCGTGAAATGACTTTTTGTTGCTTGCATTAGGAGAGTAAGGTACGTTCATTTCAAATCAACTCATCCATTCATATATTGTTTCAATAGCGTTTTAGCAAAGTTGGGTAATTATTTTTTGAACTAACAAGTTTAGTTAAAAGTTAATGCCTTATAAAATTAATTTAGTTATGTTAAAAGTAGTATGAACAAAAAAGTAAAAGTTGAGTTAAGATTAAGTTACATCAAAAGTTAATTTTTAATTTAATTTATTGAATATTTATTAAATTCAAATATAGTTAAAAAATTTCTTAATTTAATATTTTATTTGTTAATTTATTATAAATTTATACAAAATAACAACGAAATAATAACAATTTCGTTTTTTATACAGGGTGTCCCGTTTTAATGTCCCACCCCAAATAAGTTTTTTATTTTTGATTGTAGAAAAAAATGTTTCAGACAAAAATTTTATGATTTCGAGGAGGACATAAGGTGGTGCCATTAGTTTGACCTTGAATAGTTGCTTGAAGGTCACGTAAAGGTCACCTTGAGGTGAGGAGATCTCGTCTTATAACTTAAAAAGTACTTGAGATAAAAATGTTTCATTATAGTATTTTGGAAAGCTGTCAGCTTTGGAAAGATGTCAGCTACAAGAATATGTAATGAAAAGTAGGTGGTTCCATTTAAGAAATTAAAGGTGACCTTCACATGACCCTCAAGCAACTATTCAAGGTCAAACTAATGGCACCACCTTATGTCCTCGAAACCATACAACTTTTGTTTAAAACATTTTTTTCTACAATCAAAAATAAAAAACTTATTTGGGGTGGGACATTAAAATGGGACACCCTGTATTGGAATACATTTTTTTCTTTGTAATTACAATTATGAAAAAAATAAAAATTAAATATAAAACCTTTATTTATTTCAGAATAATTGTAAGAATGATATACATCATAAAATAATGCTCTTATTAAAATTTAATCGTTATTAAAAATTTAATTGTCCAAATATTTAAGATTTTATAGAAAAATAATTGCATTCAAAGATAAAAAAAATTTATCTTAGGAAAAAAAGTTAATTTCAAGTTTATAATCTATAAATAATTAGTTAAAATTAAATTAACTGAACTGAGTTAAAAGTTATTAACTTTTTTTATTTATCTTTTAACTAATTAACTAGTCACTACCCAACCTTGCATTTTAGTCTAATTTGCACACATTTATAATAATTATATTGTAATAAATTACATATTGCAAAATATAAAATTTAAAAAAATGTGTCAGCAATATTCAACGCGATACAGTAATTATTCATTATTAAAAATATATTCCAAAACTGTTTGAAAAAAAAACTGAGTAAAGAAAAATCGATTTCTTTGCAGTGGTTCGAGGAGAAAACATCTCAAATAGATTCCCTAGATATTCAGTTGCGCGCGTTGCACTCCGCGGTCGACTGCTTAACGAGTCAAAGAAGAGAATTAGCAAATTGCACTGGTGCTACGGCAAAATCGGTCGCCGTCCTCGGTCATGGTGAACCTGGAGCGTCTCTCGGCAGAGCGTTGGCACAGTTGGCCGAAACTCTAGAAAAGGTCGAGGTCATCAGGAAGACGCAGAGCAACAGCGATCTCTATCAATTTGGAGAAATGTTGAGGGATTATGTGGCACTGATTGGTGCAATTAAAGTTGGTGTTTACTATCTATTATTGTACAGGGTGTTCCATAGGAAATTGCTGAAACTCATTTTAAATTAATTGAGCTAAGTTAAAAGTTTGTAAACAAATTTGTCAGCAATATTCAGCGATACAATAATTATTTATTTAAAATATATTCCAAACTAATCAGCTATCATTTTTTTAATGCATGCGGTTATGGAGAAAATGCATTAAAAAAATAACAGTTGATTAGTTTTTTATGGGATATCCTGTATTTGCTCTTGATTCAAGTTACATTCTTTATACAATATAATTTTCTGTCCTCTTCAGGATGTCTTTCATGAGAGAGTGAAGGTCTTTCAAAATTGGCAGCACGCCCAGTTAATGCTGAACAAGAAGCGCGAGCAAAAAGCGCGGCTCGAGCAGTCGGGCAGAACGGACAAGACAAGTCAGGCGGCTACCGAGGTCATAGAATGGGAGGCGAAGGTGGACAGAGGTCAGGAGGAGTTCGACAACATCTCGAAAATGATAAAGGAGGAGGTGGAGCGTTTCGAACTGGTCAGAGTGCAAGATTTCAAGAAGCAGCTGATCGAGTATCTGGAATCGATGCTGCAGCACCAGAATCAACTCGTCAAGTATTGGGAGAGCTTCCTGCCGGAGGCACGAGCGGTGGCGTAAAAACACATTCCTCGCGTTTAAGGCTCCTGGCTCCTCGCCGACCATGTCAGATTGTGACGTCAGAAACGAGAGAACACGCTAAAAATTCTTGCATATCATTTTACCGAAATAAAAAGATATTTCGGTACAACAGCACTTCAAATGGCTTCAGAGTAATGGCATACTCTTAAAATACCTCGAAAACTATCATTTTCCCTTTACAATCAATTTGGAAAGTGACTAATATAAGACCCAGTCGTTGATTGTTACGGGAAAAGAATAGTTTTTGAGGTATTTTAAAATCCGAAATAATCCCAAGTAGCAAATAGACGTCCCTTTAACGTTTAATGACGTCATTAAATGTCAAAATGATGTCACTTTGACATTTAATGACATTTGATGTCAAAATAATGTAGGTTTGTTACCTGGCATGTTTCATTGAAATAGCTTTTCATTTAAAAATGGCATCTAAGAATTTTCAATGTGTGCCTCTGACGTCATAATCTGACATGGTTGCGACGAGCCTTAAAATAAAAGAGTAATATACATTTTTAATACGATAATAAGGCCGAGACATCTACCTAACATATAAACGAGTAATTTCTACACCGTTTATGGAAGTTAATTATTCGTTCAGAATCAGATGAGCATAGCGTGTTCTTCTTAACTAATAATAAGAGGTTTCTTGAGCTTTGTTGAGAGAATATAGTTTATATCAGAGAGAAAAAAAGTGGGAGCATACACGGTGCATTTACGATTACGAAGATACTGTCTCGATTAATTTGAGAATATTCTCATTGTACGAACTTAATTAAAACTCTCAGATTTTTATTATATTTCAATTATACATATTATATTGTCAATATAGTATATTCATTCTTTATTATTACTTTACTTATATACATATTATACATAACTATATACATATGAAATTATACAATTTGTTAAAAAAATGTTACCGAATATAATAAAGATCAATTATATATATACGGTTATATAAACATAGGTTTCCTCTTTTTTAAATTAATCAAATATTTAAATTCAATTTTAAAATCTATAATTTATTATAAATGTAATTATCAATGTTTTATGGTCAGCATTTTTGCAGGCACAAAATAACATATATATATATATATATATATATATATATATATATATATATATACATATGTATATTTTATAATTTACATATATATATATATATAAATTATAAAAACTTATTTAACAAGAGAAAATATAAAAGTTTCTTCTTTTTAAATTGCAAACATTTAAAATTGGATAGGAAATTTAGTTTATTAAATTTATAATTATTACAGGATAACAATATATGTACAATAATCTTTTATTTATAATTTTTACTCTTTGTATTTTAATGTTATTCTTCTCTCAAAGTCTAAATATAGATTTTTTATATAAAAAATCTGCTTATGATGCAACAGGTGCGAATTTCGAAAAGAATAAAAGTGACGTAAAAACGAACAGACTTTTGCGAACACGTGTTCAGACAAGGACGGATAACGCGAAGAAGGAAAATAACCTCGACAGCGCGTTCTACGTCGGTCGCAGATTCCAAATTTTTCGATGACGATGAAAAAACTGTATTTTTAATATATTTTTCATCTCATACATGCACGATGTCGTCCAAGGACGCTCAATTTCAGAACTACAAGGACGATCCGCGAATCCCTTGTCAATACGGCGTTAAGTGTTATCAGAAAAATCCTCAGCATCACAGCAAATACAAACACCCGCCAAAAGAAGAAACGGTATGGTACAACTCTTAATGAAGTATAGAATAATTTATAATTGATACGTTTCATATAATTAATATAATATAATATAATAATAATATAATGCAATAATATAATATAATATAAAAATTAACGTTTACTATATTGATCCATCTGTCAAAAATTTTGCAGGTGAAGCAAGAAAAGACTGTCGCTGGCATAAAGAGAAAAAATCCTCTGAAAGATGATAAGAAGAGGACACAGCTGAAAAGTCCACAGAAAAAGTTGCAAAAGATACAGGAGTTCTGTCGAAGAAATTTGCACGACATCTCCCTGAGTCCAGAAAGGAATGATTTCAGAAACAGCAATGAAAACTCTAATGTCAAAGCAGAAACATCTGATGAGGATACATCTGTCCTGCAGACATCATCTGATCAGTCTAATCATTCGCCTGAATCATCAGCTGAGTGTAGCTTAGCTCAGAATGCATTGGCATCCAATGTCGATGCTGAAAACATTATTATGGATCTGTTTCTGGTCGAGATGCCAGCAGATTTTTTTCAGTTCTATGAATTTTGTAAAAGTATATCGAAAGATAATCCCCTCTTAGCATGTAAATCTGTTCGTTTGAGACTGGTAGGTCCGTATGATGTGCTAGGTGGAAAAATTAAGAGTTCTGAGAATGAGAGCGATAAGGAAAAGTACTTGATACACTGGAGATATTATTACGATCCTCCGGAATTTCAGGTGCATAGGATGAATTTATAAATATTAAAAAAAAAAATGTAGATCTAACGCAAGAATTTTACATTTAGACTGTTATAAAGTGCGACGACAAGGAAGGATTGCATTTTGGTTACTGGCGAGATAGTGCTACCGAGAAACCAGTGTTTGTAGCAAAAAACGAGCAAATGTGAACTGCATATTTGAACATGTTGCAGAAAATATATTTGGTGCTGTTGAGTAAGTGCATAGAAAATTGAGAAAATGCATATGTATATGTATGTATTATATTAATTATATGTATTAAATTCTATTATGTTATAGTAATATTTATATTTTTAAATTATATTATAGTAAAATATTTATTATATTTTTAAAATTGTAATATTAATTATATTTCTTATATATATATATATATATATATATTTTTTTTTTTATATTATATATATAAATATATATTAATATGTATTTATGTATTTATTATTTTATATATTACTTTTTAATTATATTTGCGTCGTTTAAATTACAGCGCTTATTTGCAAGATAAAGCAAAGTCAGCCAATCCTTTCGAGAAGACTGGAATAATGCGTTTGCATTCCCAGTTGAAGAACTTTGCTAAGCAGCATAACATAACTCTGGAGAAAAACAGCGTAAACATGCGATCGAGGGAGAGGCGAGTTGTAGCACGAACCTTTCACAAAGCAGGCATTGTGGTGCCTTATGATAAGAAGACTCAATTGGGTTACAGAGATTTGGCAGCGACAGATAGTAAGCACAATAGATAACGCTCTGATTTGATGCATACACATACATTCAACAATTAAATATTTTTGTGATATATTTGAGACTTCTGGCTTCTCATGTTGTTGGAATTGTGATGTCAGAAATATCCTTTTAAAAAAAGCATCTAAGAATTTTTAGCGTGTGCTTTCTCGTCTCTGACGTCACAATCTGACTTACAAAAAAATATTGTTTTTTTATTTATACAATTTTATAGTTATATATAATTGTATAATATAATTATATTATAGTATATATACAATATATATAGTTTGATTGCATTTAATGATGCTGATGTTTTATTGATGTGCTGCAGATGATTTGCAGAAGATACTAAAGCAGATAGAGGAAGCTGGCACTTCGGACGAGAGAAAGACGTCATTCGTGAAGCTCGAAGAAGTCGTGAGATTGGCGACGATAGCCGCGGACGAGTGCGACTTCGGTACTTGTTTGGAGCTGGGACACGATCTCTTCTCGAACGGCGGTATTCACGTTCAAACAATGGCGTTACAAATGCTGTCCATTGCCTATACTCATTTGCAAAGGCTGCAACTATTAAAAATACTAGAGGCACATTTGAAAAACAGAAAGAAAGATTGCGAATTAAGTGTCATTTAAAAACAAACTATTTGTGCTTATATATTTATGTAAAAGATGGGGTTTGTGTGGTTATATATTTATGTAAAAACAAATATAATTCATATCTATATGTATGAATTATATTTTTCATACTGAAATTACTTTAATATTTAACATCCGTAAAATGAACAAATCAAAATAAATACATATATATAATTTTTATAATCTTATAAATGTTATGTTAATTTATAATATTAATTTTTTACAATCTTAAAATCATTAAAATTAAACGAATAAAACGTATAAAAATAATTTGTTTCCGCAAATTATTTATATCGTATAACTGAGCGGATGAATATCATATTAAAGTCCTAAGATATGTAACTCGAAATAGAACGAGAGAACGGCGAATAGCTAAAAATATCTACCTTAGGCTTCTAGTCGTCGAAGTCCAGTCGCTCCGGTTAAGAGCGAGATTTTGATAGTGTTACTCTGACAAGGAATACCAAAAATACACATACTTATACATTCTATTTTAAGTAAATCATTCTTGTGCAAATTATTTATATTAATTATAAATAACTGAGCGCCTGAAATATTATTACGATGCAAGAATCACTTTATTGTAGCTTTAATAATTTATAACATATGTTATATATATTATTTATATTTATATAAAAGAATTTATCAAAGGTGTGTGACATTTTATTCACTTGAAATATGATATGTGGAGTGAAAAATGTATAATTTCTCGCGTTCTTCTGTTTTACTGATTAAATGTCATTCTTGTAGAAAGAAAGAGAAAGAGATGTCGCAATTAAGAGGAACAGATCCTACAGCTAGCGGAGATGCACCCGTCGTTGAAAAGAATTGTGATATAATTTCGACTGTCGAATTGAAATGCCTCGAAGATAAAGTTACAGCTGCGGAAGAAGTTTCAGCCAAGTCTTCAAACATACAGACGATAAATGAAGAGGCAGTTAATCCGAATATTGCAGTGATCGCGCATGCAGCTACAAAAGATGCTGAAGAATCCAAAGTTGAAAGTTCAACCGTGATCGCTCTTCAAAGAAGTGAAGAAACTCCGCAGTCAGAATTTGTTAAAGAAGAAAAGGTGAAGAAAGAAGAACATGATTATTTTATTTTATTTTTATTTTTATTCATTATATTGTATTCATTAATTAATTTTTTAAATTATATTAATTACATATAATTATATAAATATATATATATATATATATATATTTATATAATTATATGTAATTAATATAATTTAAAAATTAATTAATGAATACAATATAATGAATAATATATATATATATATATATATTGTATTATTTCAGGTAGCAAGTGTACGTCATTTTGATTTGAATGACGTCATTAGACATCATTTTGACGTCTAATGATGTCAGTTTGCTACTTGGGATTTAATTTAAATTATTATTCTTTTATATTGATTATATTATCTTTTATTTTTGTATTTAGGCTGATAACTCGAAGCGTGATGCGAGAAATGATGACGCGATGACGCGTATATCCGGTCTGCAGGCGAAAGTGCGGGTGAGGAAATTCGTAGAGAACGCGGACTGTCCCGAAAGAAACGAATCATCTCAGCTTGATAGTCAAGTTATAAATCTCCTTTTTTTAGTAAAAATATAATTATAATTCCAGTAGCAAACTAATATCATTTTGACGTCTAATGACGTCATTCGACGTCAGAATGACGTCACTTTGTTTGCTATTTGGGATTCTTCTATTATATAATTTCTTTTATATAATTATTATATGATTTTTTTTATTTTGTTTAAAATTATAACTATAAATTAATAGTTATATATATATATATATATATATATATATATATGTAATAGTATTTAAAATCCTATATAATTTTTTATAACGAGTTATCTTCCCAGGTAACATTTTGACGTTTAATGACGTCAGTTTCTTGGATTCTTGCGAGGATGAAATAACATTCTTGGATCTCTTTTACACAGAATCTAAGGATATGATTCTCTTATTCTCTTCAGGAAAGGACGAAGGAGCGTGACGATTATCGAAGGAAACTGGAAGAGACGGAAACGAAACTGACCGCGTTGCAAGCGTCCTACGATAAGGCGAGAAGAAATCAGGATAGCGAGACTGAAGACACTCTTCAATCGGTGGAGCAGTTGCGCGGCCAGCTGGTGCAGACCGCGTTGATGTACGAGGAACGGAATCGCGTGGCGATGAACCAGGAGAATCAGATTAACGCTTTGAACAATCAGGTGGCTTCGTTGAAGGAGGTGGTGTCGATCACGCGGGATCTCCTGCAGATCCGTAACATGGAAGTGAAGCAGTTGCAGGTGAGATCTTCACCCTCCCAGTCTCATCGGTGACATTTTTATATAACAGACAATATTTTATACAAAATCATATTGTCAGATATGAAGAAGGCTAATATAATTTACTCTTTAATAATTTGTTTATCGATATGAAAATCTAATTATATATTTATTATAATTATAACTTATTATATATTTATATTTAAATATATAATTTAAATATAATAAATATATTATTTTTAATTCTTCGTCAGCAAAATTTTGTACTCGCGCTGTAGGTCTTTTAAATACCCTATATTATTTTTTTTATATCTCAGACTTTCAAAAAATCGAAAAAAATTCTGGATCACATTTGTTCATATTTTTATTACAATATCCAATATATTTTAAAGCCAAATATTAAACCCAATTTATTTTATACAAAGCGAAATTTGAACAACAAAAAGTGGAAATTTGCTTGTGCCTTAAAAGACCCAGATTGCTGAGAAGAATGAATTATAATTAAAGATTTATTATTTTCTATATTTTTCAAGTTTAATTTCAAATAAATTATCTTTAAATTCAATAAATATATTTTTACTAAATACTCTAATTTTATTTTTATCATCTATAAATTATTATCTATTATCTAGATTATTTTTCTTTTATATAGATATTATTTATTCTTTTAAAATTAAATTTCAAAAATATAAAAAGTAATTATTAAAATAACAATTAAAAATAGTATAATTAAATATAAATAATTTAATTTTTGACCAATTTAAACAAATTATTAAGAATATATGAAGAATAAATTAACAAATAAATAATAATTAGATGTAAAATATATAATTTTACGTAAATGTATATAAGCTAAAGATACAGTTTATAAAATCTGAAAGAAAGATAAGATTTTTCTTTCTTAGTTCCTTAATTATTATTTTCTTTTTAATATCCTTTCTCTCTTTTTTTAATAACAAAAGGAACTCAAGAAAAAAATTCGGTATATAATACATAATTTAAATTAATTTTTTTCGATTAGAGAAAAAAAGAGATTCAGAATTACTATATAAATTTTATATTTTAGAATTATTATATGTAATATTTTGGACTAAAATATGTAATATACATGTTTTGTAGACTGAAGTCGACAATATGGAAAAGAAGATCACCGAAGAACGCGATCGGCACAACGTGATGATAAGCAAAATGGATGCAGCGATGCGACTCAACGCGGACCTTAAGAAGGAATACGAAACGCAGCTGTCCTTATTTCAAAGTCTTCGTGAGAAATACGGAGAGAAAATTACTCTGTTGTCCGCGGAGAAGCGAGCCCTCGAAAAAACAGCCGCTTTCACACCTGAATAAAGATATTTTTTCGCACATCCTGAACAAACATTAATAGATTTCGTAAACAAATTCTTTTTTCATCATAATATATATATATATATATATATATATATATGTGTGTGTGTGTGTTTGCCTGTTATTTTATATATTATCTGTATCATTTAAATATATGTTAATAATTTTATATATGTTAATAAAAGCATTATTTTCTCTTTCTTTTTCTCTTGTGATTTTTCAATCATTTAATTCCCGATAATTTAATTTTTAATTAATTAATATAGTTAATATATTTATTAGAATTTTGCAAAATACATAAAAAATTTAATTATTTTTTTAATAAAAGAACATTTTATTATGATTTTGCACACGTGTGTTTTTTGAAGATAAAATAACCCAACTTCTTCGGTTATGGATATTTATCTCTATATTTTATGCTCCAATATATATTTATAATTTAAGAAAGATTATCTTAAAAATGTTAATATCAAAGAACAAAAATGCTATCTGCTCCTTAATTGAAATCCAATTCACAAGTGCACGCGGTTCACACGTGTGTATGTTGCCAAAATAACTTAAATAGAGACTCTACAGACATCATATATAAATAAGAGACATTATAATAAAGAGCTCCTCTGAAAGATCTTTTATAAAAAGATATTACTTACTGATATCATTTCTAAGAAAAATTAATTAAGTCTCTATAAAAAGTCCTCTTAAAGAGTTCATCCTCTCAATATATGCTCATACTGGGAATAAGGTAATAAAATAAAAACTTAATGATTTAATTGAACTCTCGGAATTATTTTGAGTACAAGATGCGTAAATGTATGGAGATATGTAAATGTATATTAAATAGACTTACTACTTATAGCGATCGATGGGTCATATCAGGCTCGGTTGAAGCAGGTATAAATGGCTTTTTGGTTCATCAAAGACACTTCGCAGAAATGCACAAATAACACTATATAATACTATTAATAATAGCGCAAATAGCACGATTAAATAGTGAACAATACACTTATTTGTCAGCGAGAAAAATGTGAGCTCCGTGGCAAAGTTGGCGTTTATATCCCGATTTTTGGTTCACGCCCTCTTTTGTCCTCTTAATAAGATCCTGCGAATGGAAATCCGTAGACGCAGTTTTTATATCCTTACTTTCCCCTTCTGTGGGGTGAATTCCAAAGATCGATCAATCGGAAATTTATTACATGGATCCTCGAATCAGAATTCGTTTGAAAAAAAACCAAAAAGCGCAGGGATGTTTCGAGATTAACCTTAGTCCCAACTCATGGGTCGTTTGCGACCCAAACGAACAAGTGATTTTTCCTTAGGTACCTCCATTTCTTAATAACAAACTATATAAAAAAATAATTTTTATCGAAATATTATGATTGGGACTTCAAGTTGAAGGTTGCAAGAAGCTCCATGAATTTCTTCAGATTTTTTAAAGCGTTTTTACTGATCCAAATAACGCAAAGACGCAAACGACCCATGAATCGGGATTAAAGGTGCCGAAAAGAACCGTCGGGACTAAGGGTTAAGTATCGCCAACGGTGTTTGTTCTTAAATTTCCTCGGCGTATTCGAGATGTTTGGCGGTTATTAGAGATATGTTCCTTTAATATTGATGGGACTGCCGATTTATGACTTATTTGACGAGATATTTTAACAGCTCCCTTACTTTTGTGTTCTTACCCTATATATATCTTTTTTTTCTTAAAATAAGTTTGAATAGAATGTCACACGTACAATTGACAACTCTAATAAATTTTGGTTACCTGAGATAGACAGACAACATATTTTTATCTTATACCTTTTATTTTTTTGTTTTGTTTCCTTTTCTTTCTCTTTAAATTTTTTGTTTCTCAATTTTTTTATTCTCATATAAAAGACTTCGAAATTCTATATTTGCGCATTACAAAATTTTAAATATATATATATAGATCTTAAAATAATGCATTTTAATAATCTCTTAAAATATGCAAAATGGAGCATTTATTCTAAAGCGTAAATTTTGATCGCTTTATTGTTTAGTTTTATACATATATAGTTCAATTTAATACATTTTTTAATTAAAAAACCGTTTATTGACTATTAATATATAATATATATATATATATATATATATATATATATATATATATATATGTGTGTATATGTATATATACATATATAGATCATTGCATCAGCCAATATAATTTGCCGCTAACAATAAGTGTTAAAATTGCACGCTTAGATTTAACACGCGATAAATAATTTATTAGAAATATCTTCAAAACTTTAAAATAAAAGTTTTTTTTATATTTTAATTTATATATTAAAATAAATATTTCGTATTTCATTTATTTTACTATCGTATAACTCCATAATGAAAATACGTTCAGTATAAGTTTCCGTGGTGTAGTGGTTATCACATCCGCCTAACACGCGGAAGGTCCCCGGTTCGATCCCGGGCGGAAACATTTTTTTTATTTTTCGCTAATACTATTTACTTTATTTAAATATATTATTTATATATAATATATATTTTATAGAAATCTATTGAAAAAAATCTATAAAAATAATTCAGGATGTCTAGCGGTCATGGAAACTTGGAAAACCTGGAAATGTCAGGGAATTTTCGGTTTCTGGAAAAGTAATGAAATTTTGCGACTTTTCTGGAATTTCTTTAAATCCTTTTAAAAATGACATTTATTGAAGAGAATTAACACTCCTCACCAATGAAACAGTGTTTTCTTCCATTCTGGAGTATTTTTATAATTTATTTATCTGTATTTCACCGAAACCTAAATTTCTATTAACTTTCGAGTTATGGATTAATGTCTTCGTGGACATAGATACTCGTTAAAAAATGGTCATAAAAAATTGAGATTTTTAATCTGGAAAACCTGGAAAAATCAGGAAATTTTACCGCTCGATTTGACTAGACACCCTGTAATTATACTTAAAATATATTTAAAAATATATACAGGGTGATACAAAACCTGATGTCCTGGAAATATCATATTCGTGAACGAATTCTGAGGCAATTTTTCCTTAACGAAAAAGTCGAGACATTAATCATTTTCGAGTTATAAGCGTTTGAAAATAAGGGGTTTTTCGCAAACCCCTGCCTTGTGGAAATAAAATATTAACAAAATCATATTTTTTTATTAATTTCATATAGTTTACTTTAATAGAATTTTAATTTAAGGCTTAATTATGAAGATACATGATGGGAAAAATTGGGAACATGCAAAAAATGATGGCTTCTCTCGACATTTTCGTTGAGGAAAAATCATCTCAAAATTCGTTCAGGAGTATGATATTTCCAGGACATCAAGTTGTTTTGAATCATCCTGTATATACAAAATATTTAAATATATATTTAAAAATATATATATTTAAATTAAATATATTTAATTATATTTAAATTATAATTACATTAAAATAAATACATTTTTTAATAAATATCTAATCTCTTAAAATATAACCAGAATAAAATTAATAAAGAAGGAAAATTGTTGAATTTATAATAACATAAATCTTTATTTAGGATTTAATTTTATTCTGGTTTTCAAGATTCTTAAAAATATAACGAAATTGAATATAACATATAATAATAATTAGAAATATACACGCAAGAAAAGCTTTCTAAGATTTATTTGGATTGATGTTTATATTCTTAAAAACAATCTGTATCATAATAATATCTTATAATTTATTTATTTGCATTTACTCCAGAGTTACGACTACAGGCGCTTCGTCGTCCGCCTCCTCGAGCAAATTCGAAAAGTCCCACATAAACTTGGCGGTCAATCGGCTCTGCAAACGCTTCGCGTACGACTTGAGTCGGCCATCCACCTCGGAGTTAGATTCAATGTTACCAAACAGCTTGCACAGACTGTGATACACGAAATTGTTGCTCGCTACAATGTCGCAGAGAACTTCCTCGGGGACGTACAACAGTTGTATTTCGAGAACTTGCAAAAATTCCATGTAGACAGAACGATACTGAGGAATCGCGTTGTCCACCTCGCAGATCAGCGACACTAGTTTCTTCCATTGCTCGAAGGCATCTAAGCTCTGACCCACCAGGAAGCAAATGAACGCCAGCTGCATCTCCCCGATGATCTCGACAGGTCTGAGAATCGTATAAACAATTAAATAGATATATTATTATAGAAAATATGATAACTCTAAGGGAAGATCCGGAATAGATTGGATATATTATTATAAAAAATTTGCTTTTTTCAGTGTGTCTACTCAAATCTTGGAAAAAAGAATTCTCTGATTTTTCAGATATTTTTTTCATTTAAAATAACAAAATTTATAGATGTGCATGCTTTTTAAAATAAGTTTCCTTATTATTCGCGCACATTTAATATTGGTTTATTATTTATAAAATTAATTTTTGGATGAAATATGATAAAGTACAATATATCACTTATTTATAATGCTAAAGAAATAAAATGCAAAAATATAAAATAAAAATATAAAACAAATATAAAAAATATTTTTTATATTTGTTTTATAGTTTTATTTTATATATTTTTGCATTTTATACCTTTAGTCTTTAAATAAGTGATATATTACACACAATATAAATATATAATTGATATATAAATATATAATAAATAAATTACACTAAAAGGGAGTACAATTATCAAAAATACAATTTTTGAAAAAATTACTTTAGTCTCAATAAAATTTTATGAAACTTGCTGGATTTTTCAAGATAAAAAAAAATTTCTAATGATCCTTTTTTTTCCAGAATATAGACACCATTTTATATCTCATATTTCTTTCTCTCTCAGCTTTCTAAACTGATTTCAGTTTACTGCTTTAGACTTACTCTCGTAATTTCTTCAAGATAACGTCCAAGACATAACTGGAATCGAGAGAGTGCCGCGTTATTTCGCTCGGAGTCGCGTCGTCGGGATAATGCTTATCTGGAATTTCCGTGAGCCTGAGTTCTGTGCCGGGTTTCGGTTTCAGATTCGGCAGTAACTCCTCCTCCTTGTCCTCAACAGTGAGTCTTCCTGATCTCCTTCGCTTATCGTCGAACTTTCCGCCACGCGGTCTCGAAGCATCGCTGCAGTTCTCCAATTCCAAAGCGGATCGCACGTAGCTAAATAAAACAGCGTTTTATTGCATTATTAAATTTTTTAATAATATTTAAATAAATTAGTACTCCTTGAGATATTTATAATAAATTATTATTATTTGTTATATTATATTGTTAATTATTATTTTTTATTTATGAAATTAATTTTTGAATAAAATATGATAAAATACAATATATCACTTATTTAAAACATTTTTTTTAAGATATAAAATGCAAAAATAAAAATAAAAATATAAAACAAATATAAAAAATAATACAGGATGTCTTAAGAGTGCAAGGCTTTTAGGGTATCCTGTATTATTTTTTTATATTTGTTTTATATTTTTATTTTATATTTTATATCTTACTTAATTAACTCACCCACATAATGGCGAGCATCTCTCCACAACAGATTTTGTAATTCCACTTGTTAATTCCGTCCACTGTTTCCATGTCTCATATGGATAAGGTCCTAGATATCTGTCCAACTCCTTTAAATTATCCTTCAATCTTTGGATTGTCTCGTCAGGCACAGCTGTTATTGGAAAATGTCATAATATTATTATACAAACAATGAATGATCCTTGAATAATTGGCAATCTTGTTTACTTACATTCCGAGCTGATGTCTTCTTCTTTGGTGTCCCATCTTTTCACTAGAAATTCACACTCCTTGAAGTCGTGAAAGAAACCAATTCTGGGTGCCATTTCGCCATGTTCACTCACTGCGCTGAAAAAATATGAAATTATATTAATTATCATATTATAAGTAAATATCATATAAATATCATATTATCAATATCATAATATATTGGGTTTGGGAAAAAGTTCGTGGCGTTTTTTTTAGTAAAATTGAACTGGTTTTCTTATAGTGTGAAAATGAATTTATTTAAACCAATTTTATTAAACCAAATATGCTCCATTATTATCGACAATGTTTTGCCATTTTTCGAGTAGAACCATGATGCCATCGGTAAAGAACTTCTGTGGTTTCTGGTTGAAAAACTGAATCAAGTGGTTTTCACAGACTTCTTTTGAAAGCAGCTTAATTCCATTGAGAGAGTTCAAGTCGACACAAGCATCATTCTATCTTTATTCTTATAAAATGTAGAACAAAGATAGAATGACGCTTGTGTCGTTTTGTGTTGCTAAATGGAAAGCACCATCAGTAAACTTGCAGAGCAAATATATTTGACACATATTTGTTACCTGTAATGCACGAAATGGACCCCAGGTGGGATCATTTTAATGCCTTTGAAATTGTTCCCTGTATTCCATGATTTCATATCAATTCCGATATCGGTGCCAATTGGTACATCCAATAAAATCAACTTGGCACCTTGCGTAAATAGAGTCTGTGCAATATTTTGATCCATCTTCGATGCAGCTCAGTAAGTTTCTTTCATAAAAGTATTTGCATTTACATAGTTGGTGCAAATTCTTGGGGAAAATGCTTTGTTACTACAATATTATATTATTATTATATACTATATATTATTATTATTATATTATAGTTATAGTACAATAAAATTTGTTTACAGTAGTCTCACTCACATCATTATAGGTTTATCATAACCTTCGAAATCACGTTTATCCTCAAGATACTACATTTCCAGATTGTGAGAAATTAATTTTAATTTAACATTATAAACATTTCACACAATGCATCTATTTTGGACTCTAAAAAAAATATAGCAATAATTCTAGATTTATTATAATACATACACTTCCCTCTCCCTGTTATTTGACAAATGTTTATTATTTGTAAAACAGCTGTTTCGCGAATAGCGACATCTGTAGTCAAGTGTCGAATATTTTGGCGCAATTTTTTGTAATTTTTTTCATAAAATGAAATTAATTAAAATAGATTGAAAATTTCTAATTTTTTTTTAAGAAATATTATTTTTAATATTTCTAAAATATGTTCATCACATTGTAGTCTTTATTTTAACTTCTTAGCATTATAATTAATGTCACAGCTGTGTGAAAAATTCAGGAAATGTAAATTATATATAAGCTAAGAAAAGGCTTAATAAAATTATAAATTCAAATAACTCTGGAATAATGCAGTAATAATAAATAAGACTAAAAAAAGCTTTGTATGTACTACATGTGTTGCTTGTTATTAAAAACATCATAACTTGATAAAAATTAATTTCAGTTGTTTTTCATTATTTAAAAATAATTTATTGTGTATATAAATACAGTGCTCTAACTATATTTATTAATACAAGAACATATACTTAATAATCTAATTATAAAAAATAAATTATATTATAATAGAATTTAACCTTACATCTATTCTTATATTATATAAAAATCGGAGATTATAATTGTTAAAATAACTCTTATAAATAGTTATCACTACATACAATCATCATCAGATATATCAGATACTTCAGGTAGGTCACAAGACCAAGATTTCTTACAATCGTCCAAAGATCTATCAAAAACAAGTTCTGGAACTTCTGACATAACTAGTGGTTCTGAAAAAATAAATAAATAAATCATAAATTCCCAAATAAACAAATGACTATAACAATGTTAAGCTTTTTATACCTGATATAATGTTTCTGTCTTCAGAAGGCTTTATATTTTCTTTCTCCTTAGAAAGCAAATCTTTGAATTCTTTTTCTATGGCCTCTATATAGCCATAGTCTATAAAAGATTTATTTATAAGTATATTTTACTATATTAGAGTTCCACTATATATAATTCAATATTAATTGTCTATTTATTAAACAATGGTCCATACATACCAAAATTATATTGATCGTCACACCAATATGCTAATGTTTCCGGTTTGGGATATTTCTTAGAATATTTTTTAGGAGGGAATGGTTTCTTGAAAACATCTTCATTTAATTGTGCTTTCTTATTTTTATTAATCAAAGTTTTTTCTTTCAGAGGTTCCTTCAGAGATTCATTGAACTTGGATAAATGTGGCATTAGCTTCTATAAAAAAAAGAATTGTTGCTAATAATTCTTTAACAATCAAAGATGTAATGTACATTTGTGTTTTGAATATATTAAAAATAATAAATTTTATTATACCTTTGTCTTTTCTCTGCTTGGAGATATTGGGCGTCCATTAATATCTAATTGCGTTACTTTCAGCTTCCTACAATCTGGATCTTTATCGCATGTATTTTTCTTAATTTTTATAGGTGTGCCATTAGATACATTCATAGCAGAATTAGATCTCATTGATAATCCTTTTGGTTTTGTGCCTCCCACAGCCTTGAGAGAATTCAGCCTTACTTCATGAGACACGTCGGACTGCATAATAGGTTTCATCAGTTGATCTACAGAGAATTAAATTTATATAACAATTTTTCTGTACAATAGTAAAACATTTGTTTGTTTTTAATAAAACAGGATAATATTTTAATTTAAAATATTTTTTTGAAGCTATCATGTTATAATAAACATTTATGTGAGAAAACAAGATATAAAATATTCTTCCTTAAATATAATTTGTATACCTAGTTGCACAATTTTAATGGATTATGAAAGAAGATATCTTGTTGTATCATAAAAAAAATAAATTTTGCTTACCTTTGTCATCGGCGATTCCGCCCAATAAATTAAATATATTGGACATTTTGCAAAATTATGCGTTTAATTCTTTGTGGATTTCCAGAAAGATTTTCTCCTATTTTCTATAAAAAAAAAAACTAATTAAATATAAGTCCACAATTTTTTCCTTGTAATTTCTGATCGACGCAAAAACCAAGTAATTTCAATGACTGTTATCTTCGTTGAACATTTGAAAACAAAAACAACCGTTTATCTATTCTTTCTATGCGCCTGCGTTTGATCTGTTTACAACATAATTTATCGGAAAAATATAGATCGTCAATGACCAAAAATTTAAATAGCTTTCACAAGCGCCATCTTTCGAAGAGAGGACAAATGATTATAAAAGGCGCCAAAAACAATTTACAAATTTCAAAATAATTTTTGTAATTTATGCAACACAAATTTATTTTTAAAAAATAATACAAAAGATATATATTTTACATTAAATTATAATCCTGTAAAAAAGTCATTTTCTTAAGATATTTTTAAGAAAAAATAACCCAATGTCAATTTAACGTCATAAGATGCCAAAATGACGTCAGTTTGTTATTTAAAAAATAGAGAAAATACATAACAAATAAAAATATAATATACATATAAAATAAGATTAATAATATATAATGTGTGCGATGTGTATACAATTGAATTTTAAACGTTTATCCACTCGACAAATAACGATAACAGATGAAAGATAAACATAATTTTTCTTTTTTCAGTTTAACAAAAAAAAACAGATTACAGTTGGTTAAACTATATCCAGAGGCACAGAATGATTAAAAAAACAATTATTTAAAATATTTCATGTAAAACAATATATATATCTTTATTGATAATATATTTTATTAAAAGAGATATAATGCACTGTCAGTAGCAAATATTCAAATATTTTTGTATAGATAAATCATTCTTGATATATGTATGTGTATTATAATATATATTTTGTATAGGTATATAATGACCCCCTCAATGCATCAATAATGCATAAAGCATCTCGTACAAAGGCCATTATAACAACGGAAAGCCTACCAACTGTTCACAGTGGAATGCTTTAGGACAGGTCTGTCAAATTAAACGAAGTCTGTGTGCTAATTCGACAGACCTGAAGGAGAAATCCGCATAATAAATCCTGTATATACAATTATTTACTACATACACATAGACGAAAGAATAAACATTGACAAGGGGGCAGAATATAAAAAGTATTTGACAAACGTTAATGTTTAGATTCTAGTAAAAAATCAAATATAAACAGATATTTATTTTTTTTATCGATTTTTGATTAATCAGATTTCCTTTATTATATTAGAAACCTTTCTTTATTTTACTCGAAATCTTTCGTCTATGTGGAGCCGCAATTAATTTAAACGCTTATAAATGCTAAATGTTATAAATAAATCTTTGAGCTTCTGTGAAATGAAACATAATTTTCCAGCTACTGTCAAAATTTTACTATTACGAGAAGACGATTTGTAGTATCCTATGACTCTCTTCTTCCTTTATAAATATGTTAAAACGATTCGCCAATCTCTCTTCTGGGTAGCGATGAGTTGTAAACGGTATGTTGAGTTAAGAGTGACAGTAGCATCTTCCTTCCTCCTCGTTTTCAAGCCATTCTGATACTTTGGATGATTTGAAATACGGCTGTAACAAAATCCAAGTATATATCATCAAATATAAATGTAAAAAGAAAAGAAAAGAGAACGTTCAATGACGTCAGTTTGCTACTTGAGAAATAAATCACAAGTTTATATATAAATTACGTTGCAAACTTATATCCGAACTGTCACATGTGTACTTACCAGATCCACAAACAACGAAGAGGAATAAAGCTAGGAGCCAAGGACCAACCGGAGAGCTCTCTTCTTGCGATTTCTGATAAGACAAAAATTTTTGTTTAATATGGATATAAATTAGGTGTAAATACAGAATAAATAAAGATAAATAGTTACTGATTTTCAAATGTCACTTAACAGATGAAACATTAGTATAAGAATAACAAATATCTTTAATAAATCTTCAAATAAAGATCTTTTAATACAGAGATTACGTTAATTCAATCATTCTTAAACATATGTCTCAATGCATTTGTCATTGGATTTTAAATAATAACAAAAGCAATTTTTAATGACAAAATGTCAAAAATCATGCAATAGAAAACATAAAAATATAATAATATATAGATAAATATAATAAAAATATAGAAAAATACATGTAAATAATATATATATATATAAATATATATATATATATATAATACATATAAATAATATAAAAATATGATAAAAATGTGTAACATCTTCAACATCTGGAATTGACAGTTATATATTTTGGAGAGCAAAAAAGTCAGGTCGAGTCGCAAATGTGTGAGTATACATCATCTTCTCCAAATGTCATACACTTCAGCCCTTAACCATATGTTGCGACTTTTTCTTCCGGAACGCATCTTCGAAAATCTGACAGATGTCTTCACCCAAAATTCCTTTTTCTCTCTCGAATAAATCAAGGAATCTCGCGTATTTATATATAAATAAAAATTCTCCGGGATTTAAAAGAGAAGAGAGAGCAAAACTCACCGACGACTTGGGGACGTTTCCGCGTAAGGTGATGTTCTTCGTCGCCTTCTCATTGGCAATACGCATCCTCTGCTTTGGTGCCATCCTCGGAGGTTCCCCTCGCGGTCCGGATTCCTGTCTCTCCCGAAGCGAAGTGACGAAAAGACGTGCAGCGACGAGGGAAGACCGATCCGGCGTTCGATCAGCTGTATCGCCGCCGACGTGTTTGACACGTGAAGCGAAGTTGCGCGACAACTTGACGGCTCCGCGTGCCACACTGTCACCACCGGGGTCAGACGAGCGATTTATTCCGCTTCTCGTCGAGAGACAAAAGCGATTTTATTGTCTAGTTCGTCCGCGATATTTATTTTTCATCGTCTTGCGAAAGGGAAAAAAGATTAAAAATTATGAATGCTAGGAAAAAAATGGGAAAAATATCCGGCATCCGCCATTTTTGGCGGGAATTTTTTGAATACAAATGCGAATTAAATTTTAAGAATTTTTGTATACATATTTATCTTGAAAGGAAAATCATATTGAAGATCATATAGTAATTTTGTATCATTTTCTCCCTGTATATCGAAATTATTAAAATCATTCATTATTTCAAATAATCTTTCACATTAAAATAAAGATCATATTTAATTTTATCTTGAGATTATGATCTTCATTTTATTTTAAAATAAAACTAATTTTGTATTATTTTCTCCCTGTATATCGAAATTATTAAAATCATTCATTATTTCAATTAATCATTCAAATTAAAATAAAAATCGTAATCTTATTGAGTTTTGTCTTGAAATGAAAATTATGATTTTTAGTAAAAGAAACTTTAAGCATTTTTAACTAATTGCGTTATTACAAAATTATGATCTTTATTTCATCTTGAAATAAAAATGTGATTAACTGAAATGATTTTAATTGAAAAAAATAATTTTAATGATTTTGATATATATTAGCAGAAGATAATATAAATTGTTTTTTATTTAATCTTGAAATTTTTCATTTTTACTTTCCTAATTTTTTTCATATTTCATAAATATTTTATTTTATTCACATTATTTATTCTCTATATTACAAGATTTCACATGACATTTTGAAGATTATAATTTTGAAAATAAAGATCATAATTTCATAATAACGCAAGCACTCGTGATTTCTTTTATTAAAAATTATTCTATAATTTCTTCTATTTCTAATTTTTTTTTAATTCAAATATCTTCGAATGGATGTTAAAAACATACCTCGTATCGCTTTTATCAAAGCAATGATGTGAGATCAAAGGATATGATCCTTCTGATCTGATTGGAATAATTTGAAAGAGATAAATACATATCTAATTCTTAGAAAATTTTGTGCCAAATATAATTCTTATAAAATATAAACCTTGTTCCAATAATGTCGTGAATATACGAATAAAATAAAACCTTAAAGCGAAGAAATTAGCAAAGTGTAGAAGAAGAAGAAGCGAAAAACACTCGAAATTGTTGTTGTGTATACGTAGAAATTTTATATTTTTTTAGAATTGCTACATCTAAACAACAAATCGTTTATTCTCGAAGACTCTCACCGACATTAGTCTTTCGGTAAAATTACTGAAATATAATACACTCGTAGTTATATTTTTTTCGCGAATAATATCCACAAAGTATATACCTATGTCTAATTGTGTTATGGAATTTTAACTTCTCACTTCTCAATGCAGCGATCAACGCGATATTATACGGTGCGGAAGAGAATCGGGAGCGAGGATCCGTTCAAAATAACAAATGAAGATATTCGAACGAAGGGAGAAGATAATAATGCAAAGAATCACGATATCCTATGGAAATCTTAAAAAAACTTATCAGCACTATGCACTCACGATTTCTTCTCTCTTAATTTGAGCCTATTCATCCTAAGAACCTAACGTTAAGAGTTTTCCGCTGACAATAAAATTGGCAAAATATTGACAGTCGCAAAATTGAAAAATAATCTAGACACACAGTTGTATCTCCGTTACACAATTTGCGTATCAATGCAAAAGCCTTATAAAAACTATCGCGTTAATAAATTATGATACACTTTTGCCTTTCCACATTTAATCCATCTTTGTTTTATTAGAGCTTTTAATATTATATTTTATTCTGATTTTTTTTTCAAGAACTGGAAAACATGATCTCGTTTTACAAACTATTATATTTTAATTTTGCCCGAATTTAAGTATCTCTTTTGTTTCAAAGAGCAAGAAACTTCTCAACCCTAGCTCGATCAATTTCGCTACGCTGTCTCACAAGCGAGACAGCGACAGATGTATTGCAGCATATAGATACATATTTTATGTTCATATGCATAGGAATGCAATCGTGCAATTATATGTATATGTGTATGTGTCTGTGTATGTATGTTTTGTGAGTGCGCGCGATATGTGTGTACACATATACATATATGATTATTAAATTAAATATATAAATATTGATTGGTACAATTATCTGTCGATATATTCTAATTCAACAAAAAAAATATATATAATATATATAAAACGATATATATATATATATATATATGTATATATTAAATTCTTGCACGATTGCGGAATTTTCATTCGTATAACTATTCAGACTCACATATGGGATTCGACTAACACTTACAATTATTATTTTATTATTGACAGATGACTGCACATTTGCCACACGTGCGCGCATATTAGGATCCGTTTACAGCGCATCTTTACTTACGTTCGAATTACAGCGATTCTGAAGGGAATAAATTAACGGAAAAGGCATCGTTTCAGTATCTAGGATACTTAGATTCGAGTGACGCGAGTATCGTTGGAAGAATAAAAAATAATAACAAGCAGGACACGCGTCATTCGGTGATGCCGTTTTGCATTAAAGCTCCTGGATCCTCGCCATGTCAGATTATGACGTCAGAGGTGAGAAAGCGCGCGCTGAAAATTCTTAGACGTCATTTTTAAAAAGAAAAAATATTTAACACACTCTTAAAATATCAACAACTGTACTCACATTACAATAATTTTACAGCTGTTGATTGATTATTAAAAAAAGGATAGTTTTCGAGATATTTTAAGAATGTGCTAAAGCCATGCGAAGTCCAAATGACATCTAAGAATTCTTAGCGTGTATTTTCTCGCCTCTGACGTCGCAATCTTCGATCGGCGGAGCATTAAAAACTGAAGTTTGAAAGAAAAGAATCGCATTCTCAAGTGATGGGCTGTTTTGGGACAGATGAAGAAGTGTACTTCATTTTGTCGAGAATCATCGTGAGCATCATAAGCTGCACGGGAATCACATCGTTCGAATGACCATGTGAACGATGGTATACTATATATTCAGCGATGCATTCTTTTCTCCTGCTTAGTCTATCTTGACCGTGGAATATATCTTCCGCACGAATGCGTTAGTGCCGATGTACCCGACTGTTCCGCACATAATTCCCAGAGCCAGGCTGAACAACGCCATGTAACCGAAATAAAACGCCGTTTGGAAGAGACCGTACATTCTGTGAAGAAGAAATAAAATAGTCAAATAATTGCGTAGACTTTAATTGATAAAAAGTTGACATATTGCACCTTCTTTTTTGCCTATTAATTTTTATAAATTAAATTATTATTAATAAATTAATACAATTGTCGCTCGTATATTGAAAACAAAGTGATAAATATAAGGCCAACTTATCGAGCTGAATATTCGAGATGTTCAGTCAACTACCATTTATTACATGTATAAATTATAAAACTACAGTCATTATATTAAAACTAACGCAAATTACAATCATTCTATAAACGTTTCGACCGCACGTGGTCTTCTTCAGTATAATTATTGAAATATAAATTCTTACAATTCACATAATATCGAAATTTAATTATAGTTATTCAGAATCAAGAGTTTTTGAGCAATTAACGCGTGTTTCAATCCGTCCTGTCCAACAATGTTCGCCTCGATATGATCCCTGATTTTGTTCAGATCTCGGATAGTTTCATCGTTAATATGCGAGAAATTAACCCGTTCCGTAGGCGCTGCGATTAATAAAAAATTACCGATCAACGTATGTCCAAATTATAATATGTATCCCCTACAATTGGTAGTATGCTTACCTATCATCGTTCTTCTTGACAATTTTGCTACTTATTAACAGTTATTAAGGATGACACATAACAAGTTGCGTTAGTTTTAATATAATGACTGTAGTTTTATAATTTATACATGTAATAAATGGTAGTTGACTGAACATCTCGAATATTCAGCTCGATAAGTTGGCCTTATATTTATCACTTTGTTTTAAATTATTATTATTATTATTAATAGAAATCCGAAAGTAAAAATACATTTATTTAAATTAAATATTATAAAATTAAATTTAAATAAATAAAATTAATAATAAATTAATAATGAAATTAAATTTAAATAAATAAAATTAATAATTTTCCAACATAAATATAATGTAATCATTAATCTCATGTATAATATACCTTGCATAAAAATAATTAAAAAAAATTTTTTAATTATCATCTGGTGACTTCATAGTTTTTTACATCTTTTATAAAATAATTACTGAACAAATCAAATTAATTGATACAAAAATAATATAGAAACAAATCTAATAAAAATAAACAATTGTAATAAATATTATTACTTATTAATCTATCTACTCACTTGGTTTTGAAGAAAAAGTAGTAAAAGGAATAAATGTAGACGTAACCGGCCGTCGAAGCCGCTGCAAGAAAACTCGTCCACTGCCTGCAAAAGATATTTGCATTGTACGGACAATATATTTTATTTGAGAAGAGAAAAAAACAGAAAACTCTTACCATCGATAGTCTTCGGCATTTAGCAAAAAATATGTACATACGATAGTGACGCAGACAGTCACTATCATGAGAATAACGAATACTAACAACATAAAGCCGTAAACGTAGTAAATCTTGTACGCCCAGAATGAGGTAAAAATGAAGTACCTGAAAGCATCACAAGGTCAGCGAGAGAACTTTTAATTATAATTATTAATTATAAATTATTTTAATTATTAATTATTTAATTATTAAATAATTAATATCTACGTACATATAATGCATAAAAGGAGCATACATACATTTCGATAAATATCGAACCAAAGGGTAAGATTCCACCGAGCATGATGATGACCAAAGGTTCCATGAACCATTTTTTCTCGGGTATCGGTCGAGGCACCGCGTTCACGCGGCACGGAGCGTCTGGCGTCCCGGCGAGATTTCGCCCTAGAATCGTACCTACCAGGGTCAGCGGTAATATCACAAATATGCAGATACACGTCACTGCAACCTGCACAGAAAATTTCAGATATTATTTTAAATCTTCTCTTAGCTCTGTTTTAATTAAAACTTTGATCAAGAAAATTTTATATATTATATTTATTAATATATTTAATATATATTATATATATTTATAAAATAAATATATATTATTATATATTATGTGTACTATATTCTTCATATATAATCATTATATATTTATAATATTAATTTTTACACTATTTTTCTTTTTCTTTCTATATAATTTTCTTTATAAGCTAGATAAAATTCAAAAATAATAATCTTGATTAAATGTTTATTTTCAAAATATATAAAAGAAATTAAAATTTTCTATATTAAGTTATTAAATCTTAAAATATTTTTTTTTTATCTTACTAATTTTTGTAAACTAAATTATTATTATCAATATAAATTTTAATCCAAACAAAAATACACTTATTAAAATTAAAATAATTTTCCAACATAAATATAATCTAATCAATGTCATATATAATATACCTCATATAAAAATAATTAATGAACAAATCAAATTAATTGATGCCAAAATAAATATAGAAATAATATAGAATATAAAAATAAACCTAATAAATATAAATAAATAAATGTAATAAATTTGTTAATATTATAATATTTAATTAAAAGAAATTATTATATATTCTGCTAAAAATTATTAAAATATAAATTCTCCTCTAAAATACTCAATATTAAATTCAAACTAACTCTGACTTCATCCTCAATAAAATTTATCTATAATTCTTCAATTTAATTCTGCTAAAGCACTAATAAAAAAAATATTAAAATAAAAAGATACAAAATTACTTTATGCCAAAATATAATTAAAATGTAAAAAATCTACAAATGAATAACTTTCATTCACAATTATTAAAATAATTAAAATAAATCTATATTTCATATAATAATATATAAAAACTGATTTTATACATATAATGTTTGATGGTGATCATATCTAACATGTGTATGTAAATTTATCAAATTTAACGACGAACGAACCATGGATCCGAAAGGTATCGCTCTGCTGGCATGGTAATACATGGCGATAAAGTTGATGAAGAAAGCGGTGCCGCAGACCATGAGCGGCAGCATGAAAGCGCTGAGGATCATCTGTTTAATCCACACGCGTCCGCCCATTCGCGCGTACAATCCGCCGCCCGCGTAGCCGTTGATGGGCGACGTGGCGGCGTACACGAATATCGCCGTCGACAGCATCGATCCACGCTCTGTGTACAGCTCCCCCAGGATGGCGAAGTTAATCACGCTCAGCACGACCACTGTCACCTGTATACAAACAATTGGATAAAGAGTGACGTGCAATTTTATGTTCTTCTACCTAAAAATAGTCCATAAAAGTGAGCAACAAGTGAGCACCCACCTGGTAGCCCGCACCTATAAGAGCTGAGAAGAGCATAGCATGACTGGCAGGTCTAAAAACGTCTCCATGGACCTGTTTCCAGCCGTATTCGTCACCCAAATCCCTCTCCATGTCGTCCATCTCTTCGTCCCTACTGTATCGGGCGTAATCCTTCCTCAAAGTGCGCATCAGAATCATTGACACTAGACCAACCAAGAAGATCACCATCATGAAGCTATTGAAGATACTAAACCAATGTATCTGAAAAAAACATTCGGCATTTTTACATGAACAGCATACATAACTATGTATTCTCTTTATGTCTTTCACAAGTAGCAAAATATCATTAAACGTTTAAATTACGTCATTTTGACATTTAATGTCATTTTAACTTTTAATGACATTTTGACGTTTAATAATACCCCAAATAGAAAACTGACGTTATTTTGACATCTAATGACGTCATTCGACATTAAAGTGACTTACACTCTGGGGTTATTTTGGCGTTTAATGAGTAGTTTTGTCGTTTAATGACGTCATCAACGTCAAAATGACATACGCTTGCAATCTGGGGTCATGTTGCCATTTAATGACGTCATTTTGATGTTTAATGACATCGCTTACTGCCTGTGTTTACATCCATTATTTAAGAGAGAATCTGCTATGTTCAATAAGACTTACTCTATGTTGAAAGAAGTTGGGATCCAAATACTTATCGAATCTATCCTCAAATTTGATATTACTCTTCTTCCAATTGACTTCATAGCTGAAAGGTATATGCGCACCCTGCACTAGCTTCACCTTGTTCTCACTAGTCAGGTTGACATCCACTATCTGCTTACCATTGTACCCAATGTCAAATTTTTTATGCGTCCAAATATAATAGGAATCTGATACTGCAACTCCATCATTGTTTTCCAATTCTCCTACAACACCTGCAATACAAGAGTTTCTTCAAATGTTTGATTCATCTTATATCTTTATATATATAATATATAAAAGAAATCTTTAAATTACCCCATATTGGCAAATCATCGATATACATTTGATACCAATATTGATTTTTTATCGCATATACAAATGCCTTCTGGCTTTCTTCATTCAGACTTATCTGGCAGTATTCTGTTTTCGAGATATCCTCTAAAATATAAGAAAAACAAAATTTTTAGATAAATATTAGATTTTATACATTCATATACTTTTTGTAAATGCATTGTCACCTTTGAATTCGATATCTAAGCCACTGAACTTCAATTCAATGCCCTGTAGAGCCTCTGACAGGGTCTCGTGATAGTGATTGATAACATTCTTTGTGCCTGTACAAAAGGGTAGGGAATAATAGGAGTATGTCTCCTGACGATTGTGATACGGCCCCACGGTACTCATCCATAACACAACCTCATCGCCATCCTCGTACTAAGAGAAGATAAAATCATAATTTAAATTGGTACATAACTTTCCGTAAAGGAGGAAGAGTAAGAGATGCAACATGACCAGTTAGAAAGCTAGCAAACTGATGTCATAAACGTCAAAATAATGTCAGTTTGATGTCAAAGATGTCATTAAATGTCAAAATGATGTCAGTTTGCCATCTATAATGTCATTAAACGTCATAATGATGTCAGTTTGACATCTAAGACGTCATTAAACGTCAAAATGTTTTTAGACATCAAAGTGACATTTTAACATCTAATTTAACATCTAATGACGTCAGTTTGCTATTTGAAGAGCTGAATTTTGACACATGTCAATTAGATGTGGTAAAATAGCAAATATCGAGCAAAATTATGCCGTTTACGTGAAAGAGGGAGAGAGAAGGAAAGGAAGAGAATACAGAAAAAATATTTGGCGATAAACCTGAACTGTCAAACATTCGAATGACAATAAAAGTAGATGTACTCACAACGTGGTTGTGCTCGTCGGCACGGACCAGCGAAGTGAGGGCGAGCAGGAGGCTCAACGCCAGAAAGTGGAGTACCAGTCGTTCCCTATGCATGTTTATTTATCTTCCGAACCCGGGGTGAAAAAGGCGCGCCGACTGGCCGGGCGGCCTTTTACGCGAGCGCACGAACGTAGGATCCCACCAGCGTGACAGGAGGACGACGATGACGGGTGATAATCCCCATAGGATTTCGTAATATGTCACCGTGTGCGCGTTTGCCGCTAGCAGAAACACCGGACACGGGACGGACGGACACGTATTATGCGGGGATCCTGAAAAGATGCGATATATATCGACTACGCGCACCGTTTTCCGTCGAGAGTGCCGAGTTTTTGCTCATCGCGCCGCCAGATGGCGCTGAAATCGCCCACCAAAGTCCCGGGACCAATTAGACGCCGAAGCACTAGTACCGCGAACGAATCAGCTGACGAGTTACTAGAACCGCTAACCAATCAACGAATAGATGGTTTCTGATTGGTTGCCGCCATTGGTATGAAATCTAGAAATGAGAAAGGCAAAAAAATTTTTTAAGAAATTTACCAAATTATGTAATAAGAAATTCCAGTTGGACATTTTATTTTATTTATATATATATATATATATATATATATAACTTTTTGTAAGTATATACAGGGTGTTATAAAAGTACCGGAACAGAGAATAATTCGAAAAATATGAGTCCTAGAAAAAATGTGAAGTACTGGAACTTTATCATTTTTTCTTAGTTATCTGACGTTCAGATAGCCAGTAAAAAATCATAAAAACCCAGTACTTGATATTTTTTCTAGGACTCATATTTTTCGAGTTATTCTGCTGTTCCGGTACTTTTATAACATCCTGTATATCAGTCATTTTATTTTAGCCCTAGAATAAAAATGAAGGGTTTTGGGCTGCGTTCAAAAAATACATCTGACACGTCGGAGTGTTATTCAATCTTTTGTTAAGCGGGGAGCACACACTTTTGCATAGGCGCATAAGCGTAAGCATAAGAATCTTGATTGGTCTATAAACATATGCATAAGAAATTCAACCAATCGAATTTCTTATGCATATGCTTATACGCTTATGCAAGAGTGTGTGCTCTCCGCTTTAAATTCCTTATGCTTTATGTATAAAGGCCGTTCTATAATGGAATATCCTAGATGGTAGTCGTAAGAAATTAACCTACCACAACTAATTATTTTTAAAATAATTGACTGTAGTTTGTCAATTTTTTAGGACTACGGCCTACAACACTACATTGTAGAACGGCCATAACGCATAATATATTTTTTATAATGTACAAATTTATTTAAATTAGAGAAAGGGTTTTTTTCCCAAATAAAAATAACAATGAATATGTTATTCCCAAATGATTTCTAATCGATTCCATTCATAATTAATATTAAATATTACTATCTGCTAACTTAATGGTTGATAAAAATTTGTTATTAACAAAAAACTATTATTGCCTAAATATGTAAGTATATGTTGTACGAAAAGGATGATAAGTAGCAAGGTCCGTAGATGAACGACGGGAGAGGAAGTAAGGTCGTCGCATTCATTGTTTCAGCATTGGGCCCCAAAATGGCGCCGCCAATCCAGCCACCGGACAGCTGTTCAACTATAGTTTTTTTTCACTAACACTTCGTACGACACACACCGACATACAACACACATAACTTTGTGGTCCCAAAATGGCGGCTTATGCGACGATCTTATTCCTTCTTCTCGTCGTTCATCTACGGATCTTGATAAGTAGTAGTGAGAGAAACTGGAATTGTGGAGTTAAGATTTTGTTTTGAAAAATATATAATAATGCCCTGCTGTTGTGCGAAAAATTGTCACAATCGTACAGAACAGGGATTTCGTCTCTTTAGATTTCCTGCTAACCAAGAACGTAAGCAAATTTGGATTGAACAGTGTGGTACAGATCCAAAAGGAAATTCGAGGTTATGTGAGGTATTATTGAATCTGGAGTAAATAACTTTGTAATACGACTGTTCAATTTTAAAACATAGTACAAAACTGTAAAAAATATCAAATATTATTTAAATTATTTATAATTAATTTTATTTAAAGTAAAGTATAATAGTTATTAGAAGCTTAACAGGATTGATATATTAAGTTTTAAAATTGTATAGTTTAATAATTGGAGTTTACTTGGCAAATACATAATAAATAAGCAATATATATTTGTTGTTTTAGTTTCATTTTGATGATTCTCAGTTTGAAGATAAACGACAGGATGGACGACGTAAATTAAAACCTAACGCAATTCCTACAATTTTTTTAAATAAAGAAGGAATTAATGAAATTTTACAAGAAACTGAATCTTCTGTAGATGTTTTGTCTGAAGAAAACATAATTGATCGTAAGTGGCAAAATTATCATATCATTTTATTTTGGCACTTTTAATCTGAATCATAATCTTTTTTATAGAAATAAATATTCAGCATGATAATCAATCTGTGCACGTTTCTGTAGATACAGAAACTCAATTTGAAGTATATAACAATGTTGCAATTAGTACTAAACAATTTTCCGATGAAGATGGAACAATCAGACAAGCTAATGAAATTAAATATTTAAAAATAAATTAGCTCAAACAATAAGAAAAAATAATGGACTTATATTGAAATTCGAAAGAGAAAAACGGTTAAGATTAAAGCACAAGAAAGCATATATAAATTTAAAAAAAAGATATGCAACATTGTTGAAAAAATTAGAAAAATACCATTCCTCAAGAAATTTGAATCAGGATTAATCAATCGATGAATCAATTGGTCTCCACAATGCTTGAAATTGGCTATGCAAATAAGATATTCCAATAATTAATTTCTTTAGTAGTTGTTTATTCATTAATACATAACATTAATTACTGATTTTTTATGATTTTTCTTATTATTTTTTTATTTTTATTAAGTTGCATTAAAATCATATTTCTTTTTAAAGAAGGATTTGAAATTATCCTTGCCATCCTATTCCATTTTACATAGGCACATTGCTCAATTAGATTTCAGCATTGGCGTACTAAAAGATGTGATTTTCTTAATGAAAAAAGGAAACACATTTTCACATCAATCAGACTGTACTTTTAAAGGACAAAATGAATATTTGCAAAACATTGAATTGAAGATATATCCAGATCTAAAAACTTCAAAATTACAAAAAGACATAAATACAAGTTTATTCTTCGTTTAATAAATATCTCACATTTTGCAATTTATCATTTAAATTTACTATTAGAGAAGAAAATAAATATTTTCACTTTCCTGTTAAGGCCCGTATTCATATCCAGTTTTATAGATGCAGAAAGAAGCTGATGGAGCTCTCATAGTGCTATGGTCCATGGACAAATGAATATCCTAAGAAATTGGCGTATTTATTATATCGTTGTGTCCGGGCATGGTGTATTATTATGACACTGTCAACGAATTATTATAAATAATTAGCGAGACAGGCGATAATAATATTTTGTATTACACGTGCAGGCAAAGTGGCACTTTGTGTGCGTGTTTTCTGTGTGGAAAGCGGCCGATTTCCCACGCCGCCATCTAGCGGCAACGCGGTGAGTGAATAAGCCGCATTCAAAGCCATTGCCTACGGCTGAGCCGCGTTCAAAGTCATTGTCCACGGTTGAAGCCGTAGGCAATGTATTGAACACGCAAGATGGCGGCGTACGATCGGCCACCTCGCGCACAGAAAACGAGCACAAAGCCACTTTGCCCGCACTTGTAATACAAAATAATATGTGTATCACGTGCGGATTGACAATTGTTCACTCGTGTGGGGTGGTCGCACTCCTCCCCCGCACTCGTGACTAATTGTCAACTTTCCGCACTTGATACACAATATACTATTGACACATGGCGACTGGGAATATGGACGTGATCCTGAGTCAGCTGGAATGACAGGATGGCTTTCGAATTCCTGTCGCTAACGAAGAGAACAAATGTCTGGAGGAGGAGGTAGAGAATTCTCTGAATTTTAATATTTTAATTAATATATTAGTACTAAAATAAAATTCGATTGCTATTTTTTCTATATTTATTAGGATAGAAAGTCTCAGTTGTCCTTAAATAAGAGTTAAACACAATTATGAAATAATGATAAATCAATTTTTATTAATAGGTTTTGTCAGAAATTAATTTTGTAATTATTTTGTGAAAAAATAAAAGATAGAAGTCAAAGATATTTATCACAATTAATGATCCTTATATTTATTATTTATAGAGTAAACAGAATAATTATCGCATCTATTATTAATTTCCCAAAAAATATTATTTATTACGACACTTAATTACACAAATAAAATAATATAGGTAACAGAAAGAAAATAATTGCATTGTGCACAGTAATGAATTAAGTTATAAGATTAATCAAAATAGAATTATATGAACTGCACTGTAAAAACATTTGTAAACAATTGCATGATTTGCTGCAGATTGCTAGAAAGGTTAAACACAAGCTCTCTCTAAATGCAAAGCTGGAAAGCCTCGAGGAACGGTTGAAGATGATGAAGAAACACACCAATGATGTAACCTTGCGGCACGAATTCAATCAGAAGTTGCTTGTGGAACATTCGATCCAGATGGAGACAGAGGATCATCTGATTTCTTTAATGACAACACAATTATTTTTATATATTTTTCAATATTTATAATTCTTTATACACTTTATAATTTTTATTTCTTTATTAAAAATACCACAAACTTATTTTAATAAAGTTCAAGACCCACAAAAGTATCAAAATGACGTCATCAACGTCCAAATGACATACCTTGTAATCTGGGGTCATGTTGCAATTTAATGACGTTTAATGACGTCGCTAGCTGCCTGTGTTTACATCCATTATTTGAGAGAGAATCTGCTATGTTCAATAAGACTTACTATATGTTTGTGAAGAAGTTGGGATCCAAATACTTATCGAATCTATCCTCAAATTTGATATTACTCTTCTTCCAATTGACTTCATAGCTGAAAGGTATATGCGCACCCTGCACTAGCTTCACCTTGTTCTCGCTAGTCAGGTTGACATCCACTATTTGCTTACCATTGTACCCAATGTCAAATTTTTTATGCGTCCAAATATAATAGGAATCTGATACTGCAACTCCATCATTGTTTTCCAATTTTCCTACAACACCTGCAATACAAGAGTTTCTTCAAATGTTTGATTCACACACATCTTATATCTTTATATATATATAATATATAAAAGAAATCTTTAAATTACCCCATATTGGCAAATCATCGATATACATTTGATACCAACACTGATTTTTATCGCATGTACAAATTTCTTCTGGCTTTCTTCGTTCAGAATTATCTGGCAGTATTCTGTTTTCGAGATATCCTCTGAAATATAAGAAAAACAAAATTTTTAGATAAATATTAGATTTTATACATTCATATACTTTTTGTAAATGCATTGTCACCTTTGAATTCGATATCTAAGCCACTGAACATGAACTCAATGCCCTGTAGAGCCTCTGACAGGCTCTCGTTATAGTGATTTATAACAATCTTTGTGCCTCTACAAAAGGGTAAGGAATAATATGAGTATGTCTTTTGACGATTGTAATATGGCTCCACGGTACTCATCCATAACACTACCTCATCGCCATTCTCGTACTAAGAGAAGATAAAATCATAATTTAAATTGGTACATAACTTTCCATAAAGGAGAAAGAGTAAGAGATGCAACATGACCAGTTAGAAAGCTAGCAAACTGACGTTATAAACATCAAAATGATGTCGAAGATGTCATTAAATGTCAAAATGTCAGTTTGCCATCTAAGATGTCATTAAACGTCAAAATGATGTCAGTTTGATATTTAAGACGTCATTAAACGTCAAAATGTTTTTAGACATCAAAGTGACATTTTAACATCTAATTTGACGTCTAATGACGTCAGTTTGCTATTTGAAGAGCTGGATTTTGACACATGTCAATTAGATGTGGTAAAATAGCAAATATCGAGCAAAATTATGCCGTTTACGAAAGAGGGAGAGAGAAGGAAAGGAAGAGAATATAGAAAAAATATTTAGCGATGAACCTGAATTGTCAAACACTCGAATCTTCTTCTTCTTTAAAGCCATAATCTCCACTTGATTCTTCTCGACCAATAGAGCCAAACGCGATGTTATTGCGACAATTATGAAAGAAAGAACATTTGAAAAGGAATTTGAATCCTGTGGTTGGGATCTCAAAAATTCCCTCTGTTCCTTCTCTTAACATCCCCTGTAAAGAAATAGGCGAGAAAAATATTGGTCCGAAAGTCGGCTGAATCGGGACTCGAACCCGAGACCTTCCGCTGGAAAGAGCAGTCGCCCGGCTAGCGGAAGGTCTCGGGTTCGAGTCCCGATTCAGCCGACTTTCGGACCAATATTTTTCTCGCCTATTTCTTTACAGGGGATGTTAAGAGAAGGAACAGAGGGAATTTTTGAGATCCCAACCACAGGATTCAAATTCCTTTTCAAATGTTCTTTCTTTCATAATTGTCGCAATAACATCGCGTTTGGCTCTATTGGTCGAGAGGAATCAAGTGGAGATTATGGCTTTAAAAATTAAAAGAGCTGACTAAATAAGTATTTTCATTATTCTTCTTCTTCTTCTTCTTCCTTCCTTTATGGCAATGAAACGCACAGTTTTATGTTCGTGGTTTCAGGCTGCCAGATTATCTTCTAAGTTAGTATTGAGCTTTATTTGTTTGTTTTGAGCTTATGTAAGTGTAATGTGTGTAAGAGTGTCGGTGTAAATGTAAGTGTATCGGCCAAAATGGTCGTACAAAGAAAAAATTTTTTTCAGACGAAACACGTCCGAACACGTCAACGAACGCCAACGAACTTCAAACACTCGAATGACAGTAAAAGTGGATGTACTCACAACGTGGTTGAGCTCGTCGGCGCAGACCAGCGAAGTGAGGGCGAGCAGGAGGCTCAACGCCAGAAAGTGGAGTACCAGTCGTTCCTGACGCATGTTTATTTATCTTCCGAATCCGGGGTGAAAAAGGCGCGCCGCCTGGCCGGGCGGCCTTTTACGCGAGCGTACGAACGTAGGATCCCACCAGCGTGACAGGACGACGATGACGGGTGATAATCCCCATAGGATTTCGTAATATGTCACCGTGTGCGCGTTTGCCGCTAGCAGAAACACCGGACACGGGACGGACGGACACGTATTCTTCTTCTTCTTCTTGTATGGCTGTGGACCTATTTTCGCTCATACACCATTTTAAGACTTATTGAACAGAAACATTCGTTTTTATATATAGTGAGTTTATTTAGAAGCACTTCTTCCCCTTCCAATTGGTTGCTGAGTTCTTCAATCCCCCAATCTAATTGATATCCCAGTTTGCTTAACGAACTTATATAGTTCTTTGTATATTCTTATGTTTTGGAGAAAGCCAAGACAGGACTATCAAGGTCAATGATGGGATCCAGACGACGTACAGACGACACAAGTACACCGGAAAATTCGAAAAAATTAGGACAATCAAAAAAATAATGATTTAGGTCTTGTGACGGATGCCCGCAAGGGCATTCGGGTGAGGTAACAATATTCTTTTCCCACAAGTGGCAATTAATAGCTACATGATGTGATCTGAGTCTAGATATTAGAACTATATAATATATAGCGCTCTAGCTCGGCCCCGCCTTCCGTATACCACGGAGGAGAAACACAGACTCGACTAGATTAAAATATCTCGTCCCCTTATATCGACTCTGAGATCCGAGAATGTCTATAGCATCCCTTTTAGCTTGCATTTTAAATTTTGAGTATAAATTTGTATAATGGCATCTACATAAGAGAAAGGGATCAGATAGGTACATAAGGATTCCCTGGCAAACCGGTCCGCCAGCTCATTGCCGGCTATACCTCTGTGACTGGGGATCCAGATCAAACCGATACTCATATTTTGCGATTCGCACCTGCACAGCGCGTCGCGGATCTCGATTATGGCCTTTAAAGGGTGGAAAAATGAGTTTCAGGTTTCAGCTAATGGCAGTTTGCAACAGGAATATATCATGATAAGCCATATTTTTTGATATTAAACCCACATGCAGATATGAAAGAGAGAATTGTGTGTGTGTGTGTGTACTACGGGATATACGTAAATACTACGAGAGTGACGAACCGTGGGGTCCTTATCTGTGCCTTGGAAACACGCGCGCGCGCGCACGCACACACACAAAACTCTCTCTTAATCTGCATGAGGATTTAATATCAAAAAAGTATGGCTTATTATAATATATTTTTGTTGCAAACTGCCATTAACTGAAACCTGAAACTCATTTTTCCACCCTTTAATGCCTTATATCTCGGATACTGTTCATTTTTGGGCTTGGTGCCCATGGACACTTTTTATCAGCATGTTATGAACTACATTATCCTACATTATTGTTAAATTTGACTGGGACCCAAAACCCATAAGGACCGTTGCGGGGTCCTTTGCTTTTGTTTTTTTCTTTAAAGAATTTTTTTGACAAACAATAAATCTTTTTGGCTATTCAAAAGATTATAAGAAAAAAAGAAAGAGGCTTAGGATTATTTGAGAAAAATTATTCTCCCGAGTTTCTCAGAAATTTTATCGTCTGCAAAAAAAATGTTTAAAACGAAACAAAGGCAAATTTGTCTTTTGTTCATTTTATTTACTTCTGGCGGAAAGATGCAGCGGAAGAAAAGAATAATGATCAATATATTTATTTCAAAAAAAGAAATTAAAATATAACAACTTCTAAAGAACGATTTATATATGTACAATTTAAAGAAACTAATTTTTTAGGATCTTATATTTGTTACACATAAAGAAAGACAGACTTATTTTAAAAGAATTAACGTAAAAGTATTTACAAATTTATTATAATCGTCATTTTGATCTCTATTTTCTCCATATATCTTTGTCACAGACTTAAATATGTAATAAATTGTAAATAAATTTACATATTTTCTTTTAAAGGAATATGTCTTTTTTTTTAGACAGGTCATATAAAAATATGTATTATTTGAAAGATCCCTTTAGGCCAAAGAAATTTTATTGTTTCCGATAAAGAGAAAGATATTAGGAAAAACCTACTTACAAAAAATTTATGTTATAAAAATATTTTTTATATTGTATACATAAATAATTTAAAAAATTATTGTAGAATTTTATGTGTTATACGTAAGTTTTAACTCAGCGAAGAATATCGAAAAAAAGGAATTAATTATGCAATATTTAATTGCGAGAAAATGGAACGGTTTTTTGATCAAATGTGACGTTTGTTGGAGATACATCGAGAAAAGTGAGAAAGCATTTTACATACTCTGAAAAATAGCCCTAAAAATTTAAATTAATAGAAAAATATTTTATTTATAAAATAGTTATTTTAATTTACTACTACATAAACTATTTACAAAAATTATCGTATTAATACAATACACCAAATCCAGTCAACAATCTTTTTGTGATGTGCATTGAGTAATATTGATAAATAAACAAAAATGTATGAATAATTTTGATACGTAATAACTTTGCAAAAAAATTATACAAACTTATTTTTTTTTTAATTTGCAAGATAAAATCCACATTTAATAATGATTATAAGATTTGCGAAAATAAATTTATTCCACCCTATAAAGTGTATAAAATTATGCAATTTTTTGGGAATAAAACATGTTTTTACTTTTGAAGAGACGGCGGATGGAGGAAAGAATAAATTCAAAATTTTTTTAAATATTAGACTTCAAGCTTGATATCAAAAAAGTTCAAATACGACGATTTTTAATCAACAATTTTTATGCTTATTTAAAAAATTATGAGCCATTTTGACATAAAATTACTTATATTTTTTATATTTATTCTAAATTATCTAAATATACATAGGTATATATATTTTTTCAAAATATACATATACAATATATTTCGTCTTTTTGGACACTCTGTATCAGGAAACGCGGTAGTGTCTCCGGCCATGTTCAAACCCTAAAAGACCTTAAAAGACACTACAAGTCTCCTTATCCTGCACCATCAAAGTCCATTTTTTGGGGGTGTAGAACTACTAAAATATAAAAAATTTGAATTGCACGTAACATAACCTGAAAGGCGGCATCGCCACGAGTAATTTGAGC